AGGATACCTCCCAGGAGGACTTTCTATAGGAAGCTGACCCCTATTTAGATGTTAGAGATATAAAAAAACCTAGGAAGTTTATCTGGCTAGCCCATTAGTCAGATGTGAATCAACAACCAACTACTAATTTTCGGTGGTGTTATCCACTTGTCTGTTGGTAGATATGGATATTTGGGACAGTAGGTGAATGGTCATAATAAACTGATATGATAGTGTATATAATATATACACTATTAATTTCACATTAACTCAACTAAGTGAGAATAATGCTTGCATTATACAAACAAATTACTTACATAAAATATTTTATTCCTGTCTAAAGTTAATGTCCTGTCTACAGGACTATCTTTCACTTCTCTAATTGATTTTCATTAAAGCATACTTCATTGCAATCCATGTAAACATTTATATTATCAAAACATTTTAGGTTTTTGTACAGTATCATTACCTCAAAAAAGACTGAATGAAGAGTGTTGTCCACTTGTCTCTATGGCAGTTAATGAGCTACTTTTTACATCTAATGGAGTTTCTTCATACATGATAAATGCAAATAAGCATTCTTTGATGATAGATTTATAGATATTGGTACACTTGGAATGATTTATAGATTTACTTTTATTGTTGTTTGTACTTCTACCAATATTATGTCACTTGATTAAATGTATTAAAGGTATGAATAGGAGATAATTTACCTAATAATTATTTATTTGTCGGAAGATATATTATATATTCACTAATATTTGTAACCCAATGTACCCCTTGTAACTGGAATTTTTTCCAAATTACGCTAATAAACTTGAATTGAATTGAATATTGGTACACTTCAACCTCCAATTATATAATTTCACAAAAATTGTAACACTACTATAAAGTTTGTCTTCTGCATCCAGATTGAAAATATTTGGAAAAAATATTCAGAAAATTCCATAAAGCAAAACTTAATTATGTTTGTAATTTAAATATTCTGTGTTTTATTCTATGTATTTCTCTTTCTGAATATTAAATGGAAGCAATCTGTAAGTATTAAAAGAAAATGTTATACTGTTGCTGACATATACTATTGCATCTAGACTGTACATGTTCAGTACAAATAGTTGCATCTGTACTACACACATTTTCTCATCATTATTCTATAAACAATACAGTATAATAACTAATTGCAAAATATTTATATTCTTTTAAGTATAATAGGTAATCTAGAAATGGTTTAAAGTATATGATAGCATGTGCAAAGGTTATAAACAAATACTATGTCATTTTACATAAATCCCTTTTGTAAAACGGCATCTTCATATTTTGGTATCTGCATGGAGCCCTGGAACCAATTCCCACAGATACTGAAGAATGACTAACTAATTGGGTGAATGTAAATGCACAGACACAAAATGAAAAACCATACAATAAATTCTGGGAATATGTCTTAACCTTCCTTTAATAATTTTGCTAATCTCACTCCCACTCATTCACTCCTGTAGCACAAAGCATAGCTGTCTAAAGATCTGATGATATGAGCCTGTGTATGCAGAAATAGACAACAGCAATACAAACAAAGTAAAACACTAAGTATCTGTACTTTTTTCATGGTAAGAAAGACCGTAATCAAGGTAGACTAATTGAGGCACAGTGTTAGCAAAGTCTCTTCTATGTGGCTTACAAAATTGCGTTCTTTTTTAAAATTTGATTAGTTAATTTTGATAAAACTTTGCCATTTTCAGGCCTGGGAATGCCATTTTCCCTCCAAAAAAGTGAGTTGAAATATGGAAACAGAGAGTAAAACGAGTGTAATAGTGACAAAATAAAGTAAAAACATAGAAGGAAAACTCAGCAAAATATCAGTAAAAGTTGTTTTTTCTCTTTTTATTCTGTTATGGTTAAATACATCTTAAAAATTTCTATATACTGTAATACAGTAACCACTCGTTATATCAAGAATTCGGATATATCATGTTCTTTTGGTCCTCCAAATTTTAAAATACCAATTGCCATTGAATTTTATTTGCAACAAAATACAGTATTCACTTTTCTACCATTGTCCTTGAAATTACCACTGAAGGTGAAACAATAAATTCATCAAGATCTAAATATGCAAAACAGGTAGATATATCAATTGTCATTTGTTTCCTTTTGATATTAAAACTTATTTATTTATTAGTTTTAAGTACTATCTCCTCACTTACAAGTTTCTGTGAATTCGAAATTTCACACCTTTATGTGAATTGACACAATACAGTCAATTCACAGCATAATGTGTAAGGAAAAGATTTCTTTAATTCTGAACAGAAAGTTTTATACAGTAGTAACTTTATTTTGCTTTCTAGAGAATTTTTACTCTCTGTAATTTTATAAGCTTTGATGGTTCTATTATATGCTCCATAGCTAAACACCAACCGAATGCCGAAAATCTATCGGGCTAGTTTAAATTAATTAATTTTATTTATAATTATTAATGTTAATAAGAGATGGCACCTAACGCTTACCTCTAGAACCAAACTGGTTACGTAATTCATTTAGTAATTAGCCTTAAACTAGCCCGATAGATTTTTGGCATTCAGTTGGTGTTTAGCTATATTATATATCGGGTTTAGCGATGTTTGTATATATGTTCCATATTTATTTTTGAAACTTTTCAATTACAGCATTTATAAGTTTTACTGAAAAACAAATTACAGAAATTTTTAATAAGCAATTTATTGTGAAAATAAATAATTTATTTATTGTGAAAATAAATTGCCCATACTGTATAATAAAATTGCAACTGATATTTTGTTTTTATATCAACAGTATTTGTCTTTAAATGTCATTGTTAAAGAAACAATGCTAAATGGACATTGGTGGTATTGATGTTTACGTAAACGTCAATTTAATACGATATAACCAAGAATAAAGTTCAGTATTGAAAAACTAAGCTTATTTTATATCAAAAACACTTGCTGATGAAAGAATGGAGGCTAGAGATTGCATAGCATGTATAATCTGTTCAGTATAAGCCCAGAATTTTTAGTACTAGATTATATTGTGCTGTTTCTTTGTCTCCCGACAAGCGCGATATAACAAGAAGCTACTGTATTTCCAGTAAACCATAAATACTTAAAAAGTCTTTGGCATCTGTAAATAATCAGTAATGAAAAATGATGTTCCTTTATTCTGATTATTCTGATGTTTTCAGCTTCCTTCTTTTTTTGGTTCCTTTTGCTTTTAAACACTTTTAACACTAACAAGCATTACATGTGCTGCCCATACTCATTCATGTTCTTGCTGTTAATGGCCTTCTCCACTTCTTTTTTTGTTTGCTGCTTTTAACAAAACTTGGCCTGTCGCATGTATTTCACTTTCTTCTACTTTTTTCTGGTTTAAGCACTCTTTCCAGCATTGATGCTCTATCAGGAGGAAGTGCGCAGAGTGAAATTGAAAATACCCGTTCCACATCAGCATTGCCATGAGAGAGAGGGTCAATGCTGATTTCACTAATTTGACTACACTGGGCCATCTATCATGATCAAAAACTTTATTTTTTTACTGGTTCGACACGTGTAAATATTAATTTCAAAATAAATTAATAAATCTGAAATAAACAGATTTCAAATAGTGTAAATAAAATAATGTTTTATTAATGATTTCATAAATAACAAAGAACTTTTTCCTGCAGATGAATAAAAAGTGACATCGTTACAATGTTGTTAACCTTTTGGGAAGTGTGTGAAAATTTTTCCTGCCAGCAATCACATGTTTTACTTTTTACAACACTGAAAATTTACCAAGTAAATTAAAAGATTCAATGTGTAAATATGAATTTACATTTTTGTTTACTTTTTTAGTCTCAATTAATGCACACTTATAATCAGCACAAGAGAAGAGATTAAAAAATGGATATTTCACAAATAAAGTAATCACAAATTTTATGAAAATAATACTACACGGAATAATTATAGTTGTAGTCAATTTACACATACATTTAGGAATATATAGATGTGATTAAACGTTAACAATATGCTATGAAATCATTAAAATAACTTTATTTTTTAAGTGCAAGAAAGACTTTCTACATACGTGAAAGGAATTTTTGTTTCCTATAACCTAACAACACTAAGCGGAAGTTGCAGTTTTGAGTCCCACTCAGGGCTGAGTATTTTCTTCCAGAATTTTCTAGTCCGATAGTCTTGGCAAATCGTTTGGCTTTAAAATTATTTTTGATTGGTCCCACATCTTAACTGAGCATGAGGAAATGATCAAAAAAGTGAGAAAGTGAGAAAATGACCTGAAAGGTGAGAAAAGTGAGGATACTTTAGAAAAGTGAGTACAAGTGAGAAAAGTGAGTGACTCTGAGGCCTGCATTTTCCATTAATTGCAATGAGGAATCCAAAAATGTAATAAAAAAAAAAAGGTGGTTCATGACTTCATTTTCAAGATATGGTGGAGTCAAAGTGACAATGTCCAAGATCTCTGATGTGATAGAGTTTGCCTAACAAAATTTAGGGGGCAAAAATTTTTTAAAAATCAACATTGTGTATGTCTAATGGAAAATTTGCTGGATTAACATCACACAATTTTTATTTAGCTGCTACTTTTATAGGATGCCTGATTAATGAATTTCGACTGTAGTATAAGGACTATCTCAAAGTAACAAGTTTTAAAAACAAAAACTTTGTAAATATAAATCTTAGAATAATTTCTCACTTTCAAATATCTATATTATAAAAATTTTAGTAAGAAATATAAATTCAAAATCAAGATTATGTAAGAAATGTTTCTTATAAAAATATTTTAAAAATGCTATTATTATATTAGAATGCAAACAACACTCACATTTTTGAAAAAAATCCAAAATGTAAGTGATTATGCCATTCAAATGAATAACATAGAAACTCACCATCAAGAAATAACATTTAAATTTTAGTATTACAGTACTATTTAGATTAACTCTTCCACATTATGTCCAATATATATTAATTACATATTTTAAAACAATCAACAATAGATTAAAAAATTTCACTTATAATTACCTCAATATATCACCATATAGATTTGGCATAACTAGGACATCAAATTTTGATGGATCCTGTACCATCTATAATAATTGAAACATGTTTTTCAGAAAAATTTCTTATTATTATTATTATTACTTATTATTGGTGCATGTGTGTTAAAGCCCCACATGCGATGTCACATTCCAATGTCACACCACACTGTTGTGTCACACAATATCAAGTTTCTTATGAAATCATATAGCTGATTTGGAATACAAACTCAAAAGAGTAAATTAAAGTGAATAAAATTAAAATATAAATAATAATTATTTGTTTCAAAAGCATTAAAAATATTGTTTTTGTATTTAAATATAAATTTACATATCTAAATATATAAAATTGCTTATCCTGACTGACTGACTGAATGACTCACTGATTCATCATCGCCCAGAGCAAACCGCTTAACCTAAAGAGGTGAAATTTGGTAGACAGTTAGGGTATGTCATGGAAATGCACACTAAGAAGGGATTTTTCAAAATTCCCTAGCGGCCAGGAGAGGGAGAAGATTTAGTCTTCATCAAGTACTTAGGTGTATTAAATTAATAACATTTCAGACATTGTTATACAGTGGTACCTCAGGATACTAAATTAATCCATTCCGAAACTGAGATTGTATCATGAAAATGTGTAAGGTGAATCATTTTTCCCCATATGATTACATGTAAAACCAAATAATTCGTTCCAACATGAAAAACACTCTCAAATTAAAGCTAAGTAGTACATTGAAAAAAAAAAAAAAAAAACTTTAGTAAGGAAAACACTGAAAAAGGCATTTTGTAGTTGTGAATGTATAAATAACTATAATAGAATAATAATTGATTAAAAAAAATGTAGTTTTGTTTGCACTTTACCTTTGAGGATAGACGTCGGTGGAGGTGTAAACTGGTGGAGGAGGAGAGGGAGAAGGAAATGATACTAAAACTTAACTTACATAACATAATGTAACAATAACTTAAAAATAACTTAACACTAATTTTTTTAACTTTTCTGTTTTATATATATTTTATAAATATTTTATTCACTGCTTTTTGCCATATTTCCTTCACTTCCACCAGCACTTTAACGCGGCTGGATGGCTGAGCAGTCAAGGTGGCAGCCTACCGCTCTGGGAGACTCGGGTTCGAATCTGAACGAGTCGAAAAATCCGTTTTCGGGGGAGCCATTCAGATATGTCTGGCCCCGTCCCTCACCACCCAGCAGCCCCATTGTGGGCCTGGCCGAAACCATAATGGGCTCGCAAAAAGAGGCACTCTTAGTGCCCACAGGGCGGAAAGAGCACAAAAAATCAAAGAAAGAAAAAAAAAACACCCCAGCACTTTCACTTCACTGGATAGAGGTCGCTCGGTAAAATATCTATCCAAAGAGGTTTGGCTTTGCCTAGTTTTTAAAATGTTTCTAAAATGACTTAGGCAAATGTCATTACTCCCAGCAGCAATACGGCCAGTGTGAACTTTTTCGGAATGTTTCTTTTCAATAAAATCAGTCACTTTCTGATAATACTTCAAGATTTCCTTTATCAAGCAAGATCCTTCCACGACGAACCATGCATGCGGACTGAGACCAATGAACAGAAGTGAATAAAAAATGGCACTGCGAACTAATGTAACGTCGTATGGTGAGTTTTTGTTCATACTGTGGAGCAAAATTATGTTCAAAATTCATGTCATACCCTGAAAATTTCGTATGCTGGGGTACCACTGTAAATATTTTTATCTATTTTGATTTTAAAAATGTTCAAACCGTTTTAAATTTGAATTTGTTAATGCACATTGGTTCGATTATAGAACGATTGTAAACGTTCCAGAAAATTGATCAAATTGAAAATAGTTCGTTTGATTCTCGGCAATTCTCATCATTCTCAGCAGTAGAAGTTATATAACAATTACTATGGTTGTTGAAATACTGATTATAAATGGGGTTTGCTTGCAAAAGTCGCAAGTAACAGTTAGTTTTTAATATTTTTAATAAACAATTAATATTGAAAACAACTGTTACCTATAAGTATACAGATTAGTATATCATTTCAGCATTTCAGGACAGAGGTACTGTTGTGGAAAATGATTCATTTTTTGCTAAATTCAATTTGTTTACAACTGAAGATAATCTCATTTATTTTCTGTAGAAATTTTGCATATTATATTCTCAATTTTTTTCAAAAAGAATAACAAAATTAAGTTACATTAAGAGTGTAAAATAGATGGAGACATAAAAATCAATTTGTAGGTGTAATTTTGGTGTGCAGTCTGATACATGGATGCACAGATCAATGGTTAGTTTCATCATTTCTTTTAGATTTAACTTTTGTTGGACTGAGGAATTAATGTCATCTAAGTTTTGAATGTAACATTTAAATATGACTCATTACAATTGAATTACAATTTAAATTGTAATTCTAGTAGTATTAAGTAAAAGTTTTAATGTATTGAGTTCACGGGTTGGATGTCACACCAACTTATGTCAATCAAAACTTCCAAGAACGTCAGTCTATGAGAAAAAGTTTTAATGTAATAATAATATAAAAATGTAATTAATTGTAATCTTTTAGCAAAATCATCCTTGTTAAATACAAATAAATTTGAATTTTAGAGTAATGTTGTTTTGTATCAGAGTCAAAAAGTACTCTGAGACACAGCATGACATTAGAATGCAACACATGAATCAATGCAACATGCAGGGCATGTTGTTTAACACACATGTATCTTATTATTATTTAGATGTAAAAATTAACAAGTAATTACTATTACAAGTATATACAATGAAATTAAACTGTAAATTGAAAATAATGCTTAATTAAAAAATTAACATATTTCTTTAGTAAATTTATAATGAAAAATAAGATATGTTTAATGAGTAATCAGATACTTGAGTATTTAAATATTTCAGTACCTTTACCTACAGCTATTCATTTAACAGACCTGAATTCTATTGCAAGAAAGTCAATATTATCTACAATGAAGAAAAAACTTTTCAAGTGATAAAATTTATTAAAAATAAATCATGCTAAACATTTATTAATCAATCTATCTAGCCACTTTATTATCTGCTTAACTGAAAGTTTTTTCTAACAGATTGTAATTATTATTTCAATTCTTAAAAAGTAAACTTTATAAACAAAAATTTTATCATCACTGCTGGGTTAAAACGAAAGTTTAGACATATCATATATAACATATTTTTCCAATTAAAAAACTATTGCTTTGAAAGAGTGAAAAATGCTTTTTTTACACATTAAAATTTATTAATAAATAGTCTATTATTAAAATGACAGGTTTGAATTGATTAAAACAATAACAAAACTGGAATCAAAATTAGAATAATTCAGAAACTGACTTTTATTATAAAAATTATAATAATAAAAAACTGAGAAATGATGATGATAAAATAATACTATTAAATTGATTTTTTAAATTTTATTTTCACTTTTACATTAGTATCATTAACCATTTTCATTCAAATCAAGAATGTGATAAGAAACAGACCAGGTGGGTAAAATATTTATAAAGTTTTTTGAAAATACGATTTTATAAATTTAAAAATTTGATTTTAACTAATAATAAAATAATGTTAAAAGCATAAAATTATTGTATATTGAATGTAAATTGTTTACTTTGCTGATTTATAAGATCAAATACAGCGAAATTTATGATATTTATATATTATAACTTATACAGCATCCGATATTTAAAAATATGTTGACAGTTATAATTCTATACAATGCATTCTAAACTTAATTTGTTAGAATTAAGCATTAATAAAACACAATTTTGTGTGTTATTGTATTCTATAAAACAAATATGAATTTATGACTTTTAAACCAAAGAAAAGATCCAGAACAAGTTCTGTATCTTGTAATTGGTAGAGTTATAAACCATAAATCACATTAATCTGGTTAAAAATAGATTTTGATTAATGTAAAATTTTGATAACTAAATAATTTTTTTATTTTTTTGCTTTTTTTTTTATACAACAGCTTATTAAACTGCATTGGGTATTTAATTTTCTATATATATATATAAATTTTAAAATATTAAAGGTATATATGTACAGCTATGAAAATAATTATACAATTATAGAAGATACAAAAATGGTAGATTTTTATCAGAATGTAGTGCAATGTGGTTATCATGATTTTAACCCTTTGTACTGTACAGCACATATGTGCTCCCTCATGCACCATCTAATTAGTTCTAACTAGACACAGGCACTTTATTTGCCTTCTTGTTTCGATGTAATAAAAATGGATAAGTCTACACAACTTTAAAGTACTTTATTTGTAATATTTGTATTGTTCACATTAAAAATGTTGCTGGTGAAGTTTTGGACTAATCACAACTATTTATAACAGAAGAAGGTTATGGATCCAGAATATGACAAATTCTGAATTCCACAACCAGCCAGTAATTAAGTTTAAAATTAACTTGGTGTGTTTGAGTAAAAACAAAGAAAGGCAATGTGACAAGATGGTGACAATTGAGAAGCTGACCACTATTGAAAAACTGAAATTACAACTTGTTCTTGTAGTGATTTAACATGAAAATGTTGCTGATGAAATAAGATCTGTGGCCATCAATAGAATCACTAATAACAGATGGAAACTTATGCCAAAGTGCTTTGGAAACAATAGCCTGTTCAAGACCATGTGAAGATAGATATACAACACTGTTACATAGAAGAGAGGCAAGGGACACAATTGCAAGTCAATACGAGGATAAATGTATGTTAAGAAGACAATAACTGAAAAAAGAATTGTAATCTATTGAATACAATACATACTCAAGTTTGAAACAATCATCATCACAATCCATGGGATCAGTGCCTGTTGGAGTCTGATATCATTTTCACCATCCTTTTTTTACCTCTCTCTGTCAAGTGTATAGTGAATCAGCTCCTGAGTACTATTGTGCCATTCCTTCACATAATCCACCCATCCCCTATGGGACTTGCCTCTTTTTTATTTGTCCCCTCATTTAATTGCAAGAGTTATGATTTTGATTCCTCTTTTGTCACTCATTCCATAGATGTAACCAAAGAGGCTGAGTTTCTTTGGATGACCCATTGAAATAGTGTTTTCTTTGATTAGACTCTTCTCTGCAACAATATATTAAGCAAATTCAAAATTTAATAGATCAATTGAGGCAAACTGCCTTTACCTATTTAAAATGGTCTTTTTATATATAGAAACAGGAAGGCAAGTAACATGTCTGTGTCTAGTTAAAACTAATTAGACAATGCATGAGAGAACACAGTGTACAAAAATTTAAAGTCACATGATGGCCATATTCCATAGCCAATACCCCACTTGACTACCAAAAATAAGATATATTAGAAACATTATTATCCCTCAAGTCCCAGCAAAATCAGAACATAACTTATATTTATTTGGGCTTAGTTGCTTTGTCAGCACATCTGTAAGAATGTTTGCTCTGGTTATGTGTTTCAATTTAATACTACAGTAGAGCATCAATTATCCCAGTCAATTGAGGACTCGGGTTGGTCGGATAACTGAAAAAATCGGATAACCGAAAATAATGAAAAAAAATACATTATTACTATAGTATATTAGTTAGTATATTAGTATATCGCTGTTAATTAGTTAAATGTAATTAGTATATTAGTATATCGTTAACCTACTTTGCGTTGAATTTTCCTCAATGTTAAGCCTAACAATTTTTTTTAAAATAATAATCATCACTATTGTATCGTTAAAAATTATTTTTAAATTATTTTATTGCTCACAAAACAAACAACCACTCATAATTAGAAAATTAAATCTTGTTTAAATACTGGCTTCCCTTTCATGGTTGAGCTAGTGTTGCCAGCTAAAACATGCAAAAATTTAACAAAAATTATATTAAAGTAGCCAAGATATAGCCAAAGATTGTAAGTAGCATCACTAGCAGACATTTGAAATTTGCTGACTAGAACGGTCAATTAACCGATGTGACGGTTAATCGGGGGTTGGATAATCGATGCTCTACTGTATTAGATTTTACCAAATCATTCACAAAACACAATCTAACATCAATGTGTTTAGCATTCCTATAATTCCCTTTGCTGTCACAATGCAAATAGCTGCACAATTATCTGAATGAATTAAAATGGGTTCTTCCCTGAACTCGTTGTGATCTCTACAAACATATTTTTAACCGTGTTGCTTCTTTGGAAGCTTCAGCTATTTCAACACATTCAGCTTTACATGCAGATAGACTAATTGTTGCCTGCAGTTTTACCAGCTAATTAAACTGCTTCCTAACTTAAACAGAATCCTGAGTAAAATTTTCTATCTGATTTGTTCCTGTCAAAATCTGCATCACAATATCCTATCAGTTTTGAAGTATTGTTTCTGTAGAAAACTAATTTTCTTTTCAAGTTCCTTTTAAGTATTTTAGTGCCCTTTTACAGCATCCCAGTGGCTCTTACCCTAATTATTATTATATTTACTTAGTTTGGAGATTACATGAGAGATGTCAGATAGTATCATAGCTGATAGGAACTAGGTTTTAAAAAATAATGTTCACTTGTTATTCCATGAGAAAACTATAATATACAAACAAAAACTAAAAGTAGGAAACTGAACTTCTACCTAAAAATGACAGTTGTTAAATATCCTTTGAAATGGGAACTACAAGTCATATTAATTGACAACATGATTGAAGCAATCCAAGACTTATATTGCTATATCCTGTACATACCAAACATATTTACAGTATGTTACAAAAGTATAGGAACACCAAAAATTTTGTGTTTTTTCAAAATTTATTTTGAAATTATTACTGAAAATATTATTAATTATTTTATATCATTATTTTAATTATTTTATCAGGTTTTTACAATTCATAAAGCAGCATTCATAAATGTCTTTTTCACAAATATTCATTTTTTGATGTGTTACAAATAGTGTTGCAACGAATAGTATATTTGGCCTTAGGCCAAATACCGAATATTCTGCCAGGAGCGTGGCCGAATAGCCAAATATTCAGCCAAACTATTCGGCTTGATTAATGCATGTACAAAAATTGGCGTGCAAACCACATTATGGCAAGAACCTGCTCTCCACTGGCCCACTGTCACTACGCTTCGCCAATCGTGTTAATTCTTGACAGCTGTAGCGGACAGACAAGAGCGGCATGGCTGTATGTGATAAATGATGATATCAAATGTGAATAACAATGAAATGACCTACACGTGTAAATAACGGAAAAAGAACAGAGAAAGACAGCGAAGTGAAAATGTGAAAATATGAAATTGAGTTGATAACATAATCGAACAAGTCAAAGCAGCTTATTGGCGCAAAATTTGCGGCCGTCAATGCCAAACAAGTGTTGTCATAGACTTCTGAAAGCTAAATGCTTGTAATGAAAGTCACTTAGCATGCACGGGCGAAAGCCTGGAACCGTTCGGGCTATCAAGCTGTCTCAAATCTGTGAAATCATAACTGTGACATATACTGATGTCCTATGTGTCTCTTTTCTCCGTTATCACCAGGCTATGAGTCATGTAATTATAAAATGGAAAAACTACGAATCTAAAGTATCGTGAACGTGTATTATGATGTATGCATAGGCATACGTGGACTAGAGAGATAGAGGAAAGAGAAAGGAAAGAGCAAAGACGAGCACTTAAAAAGGATAGACATGGTCAGACCCTCAGATGTGTGTGACGATTCTCAAATGAATAGGTATGTACGTGTGCTGATATTTGTAATTATAAATTGTAAATACATGTGACTAATAATATATTTTTTTATTTTGTGCATGTTATAAGTTATAAATAAATATAAACAAACAACACTAACCTGATAACATTAAATCTAAATACCAAAATGATTAATTTACTGTGTTTTTGTTATTTCTTATTCCTGTTTTTAGGTATTCGGTATTCGGCCGAATAGCAAAAAATAGGCCAAATACCGAATAGTAACCGAATATTCGTTACATCACTAGTTAAAAAAGTATAGGTACGCCACTTAAAAGTCTCTTAAAAATTAATTTATCATAATAATAATTAAAATTATCCCCACTAGAGTGAGATGTCATCATTTTTAACTGTCATAGTGGCTTTTTTGAATGTTTTATTGAATGTTATATAAACATTTTCAACAATGCCTCGTGGAACTGTACTTCAGGAGCTAGAAATACATAGAATTTATTATTTGAGTGGTTCAGGCAAGTGTCTGAGGCAAATTGCTGCAGCTGTAAATAGATCTATGAATGCTATGCAAAATGTTTTGCAAGGTAAAAATTATGGGCAAAAAAAAAAAGTCAGGATGGCCTAAATGTTTAACATTCAGAAATGAAAGATGCGTTTTGAAGCTTATAACTAATAAAAACATATCAACAAGACAAGCTGCTGCTGAATAATCAGTAGATGTATCTCATGCGACTGTTTGAAGAACTTTAAAAAACAATGACAATGTAAATATTTAAAAACGAAGTTGAAACTACCTTTAACTGCCAAACATAAATCAATGTGTTTAATTAAACTGGGCTAAAGACAGGATAGGATGGGCTGAAAAATGGCAAGAAATAATGTTTAGTGATGAGAAGAAGTTTAATTTAGATGATGGGTTTTCATATTATTGGCATGATTTAAAAAGAGAAAGCAGAGTTAAAATAAACCAGCAACAAGGGGGTGGGTCTGTAATGATTTGCTGTGGTTTTGGATGGAGAGGTAAAACTGATTTAGTATTTGTTGACATAAATATGAACTCAGAAAAGTATCAAGAATTATTGTATGATAATATGATTACATTTGGTGCATTAATGGAAGTTTCAACAAGATAATGCTTCCATTCATGCCTCAATGTCAACAAAAAATTGGGTTAAAAAAGAAAATGTTGATGTAATTGACTGGCCTTCACATAGTCCAGATTTAAATTCCATTGAAAATTTATGGGGGATTTTAGCAGCCATTGTTTATAAAAAAAAAGAACCAATACAAATCTGTAAATCAATTGAAAATTGTAATAATGGATGCATGGTATGAAATTAAGGATAAACAATTAAAAAAATTATAAACTCCATGCCTAACAAAATTTTTCAAGTAATTGTACCCAAATGGGGTGAAACCAAACACTAAAAGTGTTTAAAATACAGTGGAGCATCGATTATCCGACCCCTGATTAACCATCACATCGGTTAACCGACTGTTTTAGTCGGCAAATTTCAAATGTCTGCTAGTGATGTGGCGCTACAATATTTGGCTATGTCTTGGCTATTTTAATATAATTTTTGTTAAATTTTTGCGTGTTTTAGCTGGCAACACTGGCTTGACCATGAAAGGGAAGCCAGTGTTTAAACGAGATTTAATTTTCTAATTATGAGTGGTTGTTTGTTTTGTGAGCAATAAAATAATTTTAAAATAATTTTAACGATACAATAGCGACGATTGTTACTTTAAAAAAAATTTGTTAGGCTTAACATTGATGAAAATTCAATGCGAAGTAGGTTAACGATATACTAATATACTATACTAATAATGTATTTTTTTCATTATTTTTGGTTATCTGATTTTTTCAGTTATCTGACCAACCCGAGTCCCCAATTGAGTCGGATAATCGATGCTCTACTGTATATTTAAAAATTATTTTTATGTAATTTTAGAAAGTGTACCTATACTTTTGTAACACATCAAAAAATGAATATTTGTGAAAAATAAATTTATGACGCTTTAATGAAATGTAAAAACCTGATAAAATAATTAAAATAATGATAAAAAATAATTAATAATATTTCCAGTAATAATTTCAAAATAAATTTTGAAAAAACACAAAATTTGTGGTGTTCCTATACTTTTGTAACATACTATAGTATAATTTTCATTTCATCAATAAATATTTTAAGACTTACATTTAAACACAAAGTATCAAGATACATCTCATCATATTTAATATTTGGATGTTTTTCTGCAACTTTACGACAACACTGAAGAAAAAGACCATCAGACATCCTCCTATTAAAAAAAATTAAATAATATTTATTATTTACATAAAATTATATCCAGAGAAAATACAAATAATCAAATAAACTTGGTGTTACAGAAAATAATGCAACTATCCATTTAATTACTAGATTTATTGGTGAAATATAGAATAAATCTTTCAGTTTGTTGTCAGTAATTTGCTTTATGTTAACTTGTAGTAATAATTGAAATAATGTTCAATATTCATGTAAAAAAAGTCAATTTCACAGAATAAGCATTATTTAAAAATTATGAAATCTGCTAGGTAAAAATAAATTATTGTTTTATGTTTACTTATATCATAATAAATATGCACTGTACAGTAGATATATGTTCCCTGATTATCCAAGATTCTGCATTATCTGAGGCAAATCGGTAAATACTATTTTTCTTATAAATTCATAAAAGAAAGTTTAAAACTATAACATGCATTACAAAATAGTTTGTTTCTGATAACTTTTATCATTTAACTTCATTATGAGACAATCATTCATATTAAAATATAAGAACAATAATGCATGCATTTTTTAATTTGTAAACTGTTTAATAAAATTATTAAAATGGAACAGCTATAACTATGAGTAAAGGTTTCTTCTTCCAATACTGAGACTAGTGATTTTTATTATGTCTTTCTTAATTACCTGGAATAAACAGTAACTAAGATTTTTTTAAATTTAAAATTTGTAGCCTGAAGACGGAATAGAAAATACTTACCAATCCGAAATGCATTGTTAAATAGGTGAATAAAGTGAATTGTTTTAATGTTAGTCTCTGTTTATTTCAGATAATTATGAAAGACATGGTATAGATCACTAGTCTCGTTATTGGAAGAAGAAACCTTTACTCATAATCTATTTGTATTTGGCTGATTACAAAATATAAACACAGCAAGCCCTTAATTTAAAAGAAAAACAATTTGTCCTAAAGGAAGAATTTAGAACTTGTTTTTATTAACAAATAGATTATACTTAAAGGTTAAATCAATAAGCATAAATTATTCAATATACATTACATTATAATAATATTTTATTCATATTTATACATTATAACACTTTAATACATCACTCATCCAGAAGAAAAGTGTCACAACTCAAAAAACATAATTTTTCATGAGAAGCAATTTAAGTTTGGTGTTACATATTCAATTAATATTATCAATACAGTCATTTGTGTCATCTACCAGTTATTTCTGTAAGATAATCTGTGACACTCTTCCAACTAAAAATTTAGCTAATTTCTATTCATTCAATTCAAAATACAAAACAGAATTTTTTTGTGATGTGTCACTTTTTTTCCTGGATGAACAACATGCTTTACATTCTAAGTTTGTTACTAATATATGTTTTTAAAATTTCCAATATTCAATTTAATGGACTTTTGGCCATAGCAGACATCTTTGCCCAATTAGTCCATTAAATTGAGGGCTTACTGTGTAATGATTATTAGTAAAATTAAAAGTTGGTAAATTCAATTGATAAATTAATACAGTATCTCTGAATAGCAGACACCATTGGGACCAAGAAATTTGTCCGCTATTCAGACAAACTTCTTTTTCTCGAGTAGTACATGCTAGCAGCTCTACTGTATCTTAACCTGGTCAACATATAGTGAAGAATATGATGGATTACAAAAACATCAAATTTGCATTGGGAATGTGAATATACCAAAAAGTACATGTAGTATACAGTGGGTGATCGGTTAACGAACAGATCGCATAACGAACACTTTCGCGAAAGATTTTTATGTTCGGACAACGAACACATGATCGGATAACAAACACCCCACAGAACAAACACAAGAAGAAGCGACGTAAATTAACGAATACCGATTGGTCTTCCCTTGTCTTCGGGCAACAATTCGAAACTTTTTGGAGTGTGGGAGACGTCGCCATCGACGCTCAAGCCGATATATACCGATTGGATATTATTCCTCCGAACTTTGAAACTCTTCCTTGTAATTTCAGCCTTTTATTTTTCTGACAAAACAATTATTTTATGTATTCGTGAGACTGTCGGGTAGGCACTCGTTAAGTTTTGCGTCTGTTTTTCTTTTCGAAAGGTGAGAGTATAATAGCAAAGGTAGAGAGTGGGCAGAAGATGCCTAATGTTGCTGGGCAGTATGGCGTAAACAGGTCTACAGTAGGCTGAAGTTCAATCTTATTTAAGAAACATACTGTATAATCAAGAAGACTCAAGCAGCTAAAGGAGTAACAAAAATCACATCTGAGAAATAAAGAATATCGAACAGTTCATAATGGAACACGAAATGGATCTGACGACAGAAGAACGCCAAGAACTCTTGAATGAAGAACACCAAGAAACTCGGCGAGATATGTTTTCTTCTGAAAAAGAGGATTAATGCCGATATCTTATATTAAAGATCCTTTGAAGAAGTGGGAGGATGTCAGAACAACGGTCTTAGAATGGCATCCAAACCAGGTTAAGGCTTGGGGATTTCTGCAATTGCAATGCTATTAATTACTTACGAAAAATCCTGAAGAAGAGAGAAAAGCAATCGACATTAGACAGATTCTTTAACCCTTTCAAACAGAAAAAAAACACGACTAATAAAAACGCAAGACTATGTATGTATGTATTTTTATTATCATCAATACATATAAATAAAGGTAGTAAGAAAGTATATATTTTTTTATTTTGGGGGGTCTCCAGAACCAATTAATCAAATTCCCATAGAAACCTATGGTAAATCGATAATCGGTTAACGAACAATTCGGATAGCGAACAAAGTCTTGGAACGGATTATGTTCGTTAACCGATCACCCACTGTATATAATTAAAATATATATACAATATATTATTTATTGTTTTAAGCTGTAAAAATCTTATTTTAATTGAATCTCGTTTGAATGTCAAGTTATGAAAGTGCTTTCCTATCCACTTCAAAAGATGGGAAATATATTCAGAATTGTTACATTTATAACATCATTTATGATCTAAGCAACTAATAAAAATTGATACAGAAATTTGTCTGCTCTGCAATTATCAACTAGGTGTAACTTTTCAAACATTTTTGCTTTTTTCACTAACTGATTTATTAAAAATTACACTTCAGCCCACAGAGCTATTAAAATAGTTATGACAACAGCATTTGTTTGATGAATGTTCAAGTTCAAAGGTCGTGTTATTAAAGAAATTTTCCAACCACTTTAAAGTGTGGGAAGCTATTTGGTTTTCTCAACATTTATGATCTTAAGTTTCTTTTTCATTACTACTATACCCTGGTTCTTGTCAAATGAATGAATAATTTCAAAAAAGTTTATAGTTTTTTGGTATTGTAAGCTTAATTACAACAATAAGACAGAAGTTTAATAACATTAATATGTATAACAATAAATGGTGATTGACAACTTAACCAGATAAACTTCTCTAACAGATAATAATTGCTCAGCTTTTTACAACCTGCCCTCCTCCCTTATCCCTATTTTAATCCAGTTTTTATTTGATGCAAACAGTCAAAATTCATGGCCTAAAAGAGTATTTGAATTGAATCTTGATCTTGTTTTAAAATATTTTGTATGTAATTAATTCTTTCAGAATATTGAAAGTGGAACATTGCCTTTTTTATAAAGTTGGTTATGAATGATGGAGTTTGTTATTTAGTGTCCACTATTTAGAGCTAAATATAACAGGTGTCCTATTTGAAGGTCTGGGGATTGTAAAAATGTCAGTTAAGTAGAGGTGCAGGGGCGTGCCATGACATTTGATGATAGGGAAGCTGTGTTTTTGTAACAAGCCGACTTCCAGGGGCAATCAGTCAGTGATGGTCTAGGGTCCATTCGTATTCGTTTGTTCGATAAGCCAGTAAAAACTGTAGACTTCTCTAAATATATTTTTAATTAATAGATTATCTAACGCCCTTAATAAATAAGCAAGTTCAATATAATTAACTCTGTTATATTAGATTTAATAGATTCTCTACGCCCTCTAAATGCCAATTCTCACTTCGATAACATCTAATAATAAAAATATAATATATCTATTAGCCGTAACTATCTCGTTATAATTTTCAATATTTATTTTATATTGTGTACTAATGTTAAATTCTATTCTATTTTGATTTCCAAATTGCTTCAATTTTACGAAAGATTCGATGCGAGATTTAGGATTTTCGTGTCTTTTGCCAGCTTTATTAAAATTATTTAAATTGTCAAAGCCAAATTATTTAAATTGTCATTCCACACACTAATTTCATTTGAAAATAGCAGGCAAGCCAACAAAACAATTTTTGCATTTTTATGCATCCACAGAGCCATTTTATATCTTCATAAATTTTATCATGAAAATGTTGAACAAATTTTTTTGTCGACGTATATATATTTAATTTAGACATTGGTCTTTCTCTTTTAATAATGTTTTCTTTTTCATTATAAGATCTCGAGCCAAAACTTTTTTAAATAAATTTTCAATATCGCAATTACATTCTAAATCGCTAGCTATAATATAAGGGCTAAAATTAAAAATAAAATTATAAAAACTTACTTGTTAAAATAAAATGTGTGATGGATATACATGTACATACCTGGTACAAAATATTCAATTGTATGAATATAGTTTAGTGAAGAAACGTACATAAAAATAGCATAAGATATTCTTTACTTTTTAAATATTAAAACAATCCGCTTAGTTAAAAGTGCTCCCTATCAGTGACTTGTGGATGAAATCGGAGACGATCTTGGTAGGTGTGCGATGCGTGCATGCGTGCCAAATCCCGAGGGTGCCGATACCAGTTAATGTCTCTTTTGTCTCATCACTAGTATATCTCAAAGGACGCGACAGGGTTGTTGTAAATTTTAACCGTTTCTCATCATAGCTGTAAAAATCTAAATACGTTAAACTTAATAGATTGTCCATCTTTTGTTTTCTAACTAATTCGTTTTAGGACCAGGTGTTGTCCACGGAAATTTCCAAAATTTACAACTTTTCAGTCACTCTCGTTGAACTGTAAAAATTTCTGTCTTTATCACATCTAATACAGTATTTCGAAGAAATCAGTCCCCACTGTACTCGGCTATAGATTGGTTCAGTTAAGCTTTTGTTTAAGTAATATTCCAGCTCTTTCGTCAGGGTTTTGTTTATGTCCCCAATTCCCTAATCGCTTAATTATTTAACTACTTCTTAAGTAGAAATAAGTCGAAAGCAGTTACTTTGTACTCGAATATTTGTAGTCTCGGGAAAAAAGTGGAAAGACAAATTTTTATGACAAACGGATACATAAATCGTAAATTTAAGGAAAATAAATTCTAGAGCTTTTTCTGTACCTCGTGCATCTCTCTCATTCATTAAATTTAGTTGTAAATGATGCTACCAAAGTAACAGTTAATTTTTTAACATTATACAAGAATTGTACACGTTTTTTTCTACATCCCCTTAAAGATGGGATGTACGAAATCGTAATATCACTGGTTTAACATCGAAATCCGTGAGTAATATAAAATCGGAGAGCGGAATAAATATATCAAATATTTTAATGGATTTTTTAAACTCCTGTCAACTATACAGAACTATCGTAAAAACATACCAGTAAATTCTTATCGGTTGGGTTAAGTTATAAATCTACTCGTTATTCACGTAATCGAAATATCTAGTGGGCAGGCGGCTAACAGCCCAGAACCGGTCCTTGATAGAATTGGAATCTTTATATGTGTGCAGCTTTCACCCAAGGTCGTAGGCTTCCACCGGCTAAACCGGGTGAGGTTGGTGCTCTGTAAAGCGCATGCGCAAATCTGGCTTTTCGTAATCTGAAAATACAGGAGATTCCACTCCGCCACTAATATTCTAATATACAATAGCAATTTTTTTTTCACGTGTAGTATAGAAATTTGTAATAAGATACATAATGTGGTTATAATAAAATATTGTGAGATTATTTTCATATAATTAAAATTAATATGTATTTATTTTTTATAAAATATAAGGGAAGCGGCGCTTCCACCGCTTCTAATGACGGCACGCCACTGTAAAGGTGTCCGCTATTTGAGTGTGTCTGTTAATGGAGGTTTTGTATATATCAAACTGAACTTGATCAGTTGCTGTATAGTGAACTATTACAATAAACTGATATATAGCAAATTAATCCATTCAACCAAAGTTCAACTTAAAAACAGAAAATTCCATGTAATATTTTGAGTATTGTGGTAAATCTCAATACAGAAATTTATTAAAACAAACTGAAAGTCAATGAATTTATAACTTTTTGCCATAAGTAATTCATCAAAAACATTATTATATAGAGAAATCATATATTCTGAATAAATTGTTTTACTTAAAACTTTAATTTTTGAGTTAATTTATTTTGGGGATTGATACAATAAGAATAAATTATGCTCATTTCTATCTTATATAATAATTATTAACCATTTATAATTATATATCAGTGATCATTTTTAATTAGTAGTTATGTAAATTTTAAGATTTTAATTTGCAATTATTAAAAACTTGCAAATTAAATATGCTAAAAAATAAATTAAGTGTTTCACTTATCTCTGTTGAATACTGTAAATAAATAATATAATAAAAATTGAAAACCTTGATACTAATTGATGAATTATTGATACATTTTAAAGAGCTTTTAATGATAATATATTTTATCAAAACAGAAAAATTTCAATTAAAAAGTATATAAAACTCACATAATATTTGCTTTATGTACTGCAGTAACCATATTGCGACCATTTTGAACAGCATAATCAAAAGCAAATGCTGCTACGCGATGTGAAGCTTCTTCTGTGATTAATTTAATGCTTTGCACAACTCCATCAACAATCTAAGAACAAAAAATTTTAATTTAATATATTAATGTCAACATATAAATAAACTTATTTTTATTTTGAATAAATTTTAAAATAATATGTATGTCCAGTTAACCCTAGATCACAAAGCCTCATCATTTTTATGACACAAATTTGTTAATTCTTATTTTTCTCCTTGTTTTGCACTATCTTGCTGGTTTTTTTCTTTTTTTTTTTAGTACCTTCCTACATTGTTGCCAGGATCGTCATAACAAGTGCAAATTCTTAGGATTGTTTTTGTTTATGGAATAATTGAAACTGTCTGCGTCAATTTTACAAAACTTTGTGACTATGTGTGGTGCCTTGAATAAGGATAATCATGTTTATATTTCATGTGTGTTTTTTCTTTATATGACATAATTCATGTAGATTAATTTTTCATTCTTTAGTTTTATTTGCTAGTCAATCATCTTGTCACATTCCATGCAGAAATATTACTCATTTTATTATTTATTCAGTTGTCTGTTGGACATGAAAGGGAAGTGAATTTAAAGATGATCTCTTCATCCATTTAATTGAAAAGCTAACCAAACCATGTATGAAGAAAATACTAGAATCATACACCTTGCAGACACTATTGTACCTCTTCATACAAAATGTTTTACAGAAAAATCCTGCCATTCCCAGAGAGAATCCAACATTTGAAGATGAAATAACAACTTGTCATATCTACCATTCAAAAAAATGAACTATTTTAACACTACATATTGCAGCCAGTGCAACCACATATACAGCAAAGAACATCGTGCAAATCAATGTGTTAATTGCTACAAAAACTTTTATAATAATCATCCAGTATCTGAAATTGTATAAAAACTAGTATATTTCAACATATATTTGTTATATTACTGGCAATCAGTATTCTGACATGATAGTAATTAATAAAACAAAAAGTCATAAAATTTACAAAGCTTTGTGTTCCTGTAATAATGATTTATGTTTTGTGATCTAGGTTTAATGCAAACAATAATATAACATTCATAAAAAGCTGTATATATTAATAGTTTCTAATTAGTTACCAAAATAATGCTAAGTTCAAAAGTACATACATAGCTTTATCTAATAAAATTTATTACAAGAAAAATATCTAAAGTCATCCACAAAATTTGATCAAAACACAATAGAAAACAAATAAAAAAAACATTATTGCAATTTTGTGTGGATAATCTCAGATGCATATAATACACACCATAGTATACAGTCATACATCGACTTACACTACCCCGACTTACACGAACCCGGAGTTACGCGATTTTCAAATCTCATCGATTCGTATTTTGTTTGCACGCCACAAAACTCTCGATTATTCACTCCCCCACACTATTGTTCAGCTTAATGTTCGGATGTGTTGCGCGGAATCAACGCATAGCTACAATTTATTTTGTGCAATTTATTTCTGTTTGTTATATCTACAGAGACTTGAGAGTCTCTATGTGGTAATTTCTTGTAACCGTTAACGAACCAAAAGGCGAGATAAGATTAACGAGAACATTTATTAGCTTACATACATCCGACTTGGATTTTATACAAAAGGCATCTGCAATCGTGAACAATTGACGAAAAAAGTATACATTTATCAGATAATAAACAAAGACTCATTTTGTAAACAATTTACCTTTTGTATATACAACTGACAAGATTACCTTTCAAATTATAAACAAACTTGATCCCAAGCGGTCTTTTGATTGTCGGACATACAAAAGAAATGAACAGATGTCGCCTAACTTAAGCGCGGTTTACAATAACGAATATGATTAATCTTAACACTCTACTATGTCATCCAAACGAAGTAGAACTGATTCTTCTGCATCAAACAAGAAAAGAAAAACTTTATCTTTGGAATGTAAAGTTAACATTATTAAAGAGTTCGATATAAAAATGAAAATTTGTGAATTGGCAAAGAAGTTTGATCTACCGGAATCGACGGTCAGAACAATTATAAAAGGTAAAGAAAAAATTCTTGAAGCTGTAAAAAATGCTCAATCTTTAAATTCAAGCATCATTCGTAAACATCACAGTATTATCGCTGAGATGAAAATAATGTTAAAATTATGGTGTGATAATCAAGTAAATGTGAAAAATTGTCCTGTTGATCAGAACACGGTGTGTTCTCAAGCTAAGCTGATTTTTGAGAGATTGAAAGAGGATGCTGGAGAGGTGGCTAAAGATGAAGAGTTTAAAGCTAGTAACGGTTGGTTCAACCGATTCAAAAGTCACTGTAATTGGCATAGCATTGCAGAAAGTGGAGAGGCGGCAAGTGCTGATAAAAAGGGTGCATCTTACTATCCAGAGAAATTCAAAGCTATGACAGATGAAGGTGGCTATACCAGCCAAACCATATTCAACATAGATGAGACTGGATTGTTCTGGAAGAAGATGCCTAAAAGAACTTTTATCGTGCGTGAAGAGAAAACCTTTCCAGGTTTTAAGGCCGCCAAAGATCGATTGACGGTGATGGTTGGTGCGAATGCAGCTGGTGATTGTAAGTTAAAACCTCTCTTAGTTTATCACTCGGAAAATCCAAGAGCATTGAAAAATGATTCTAAAGCTGGCTTGCCTGTGATTTGAAAGTCGAATCGTAAGGCTTGGGTGATAGCTTCCCTTTTTGAGGACTGGTTTGGTCATCACTTCAAACCTGAAGTTGAACATTATTGCCAATCTAAACAAATTTCATTTAAAGCAATGCTAATAATCGACAACGCACCAGGTTTAACCCCTGCAACTTTAACTAATTTTGACCCACATGTGAAAGTTGTATTTTTGCCACCAAATACAACCAGCTTGCTTCAACCGATGGATCAGGGAATCATCAAAACATTCAAAGCTTATTACACGAGATGATCGTTTGTATATCTGCATGAAGCTATGAGACAAAACAACGAGCTCTCTGTTAAAGACTTTTGGAAACAATTCAATGTTTTAGATGCAGTGAGAATCATTGGACAATCTTGGAATGAAGTTTCATAAAAAACTTTAAATGGCGTCTGGAAAAAACTGTGTCCTTTTTTTTCACCATTGAAACTCAGGCAGAATCAGTGCCAGAGCCTGATGAAATTGGTAATGTGATTGAAGAAGTTGTCGATCTTGCCAGGCAAATAAATTTAGAAGTGGATAGTGATGACATTCGAGAACTGCTGGATTCCCACAATAAGGAGCTGACAATTGATGAGCTCATAGAAATGTGTGAGCAAGAGCAAGACATTGAAGAACTTGATTCTTTAGATCCAGTTCAATCAGAAGATCGAATGACGGTTGGAAAATTGATAGGCCTCAGTTTTATTGAAAAGGGGTTACAAATTTTAGAAAATATAGACTCCAATGAAGAGTGCATTTCTTCTACAAAACGAGAAATAAAAAAATTATTAGTGTGCTAGGAGGAAATTTTGCAGGAGAAAAAAAAATCTTTGAGCCGTCAGGCGAATTTGTTAGATTTTATGAAGCCTTCTACATCAAAATAACTTAGGTTTACAATTTTAATAATATAATTTGTTATACGAATGTATTATCTAAGATTTTATTAAACATTTTTTTTCTAAATTATTGTTTTCTTTAGTCTCCGGTCCCAATTAAAAATAATTTGTATGTATTTATATGCAAAATTATACCCCGACTTACGCGAATTTGACTTACGCGGTTATCGCTTGGTCCCACCTATCGCATAAGTCCGGGGTATGACTGTACTCCACAAATACTAACAATGGAAATAAAAACTGTTTAATTTCATTGATCATATATCCATTAACCATGATCATATATCCCATGCTCCAAAGTGAAGTGACTAATAAAACATGATATTTGCCAGTATGTAGTTTAGAATGTACCATCTACCCCATTAAAATATTGTTTTTATCTTTTATTTCTAATAGCAGTTATTTGTATATGTAATTATGAAATAAGTGTATCAGAAAATTAAATGAAAACTACTAAACTTCATAAGCATAAAAATTATAAAATGGCCTACTGAAGAATTTTTATCATATTGCTTTATTTCAGTTTGATTTATCAAATAATAATATTATTATATATTTTATTATTGATAATTATGAACCCTAAAATAAACTTTTAAAATTTTAATATAACTTAAATTATTTTATATTTTTTAATCTAAACTTTAGTGAGTGTTTTTAATAAAGGTAAATATTATGAAGTATTTTTTTATTCCACGATATAACATGATTCTTTAAATAGTTGACACTTCCATGTTGTGGCATTACAAATAGTGACTTCTTAAAATTCACATGTACTCACAAGCATTTTCAATAGCTTATAGCTATCATCCTCAGGCAAAAAATTCAAAAGTATTTAATCTTTGAAAGTTGGCATGAAGTGTAATTTATAGTCAATATGATTCTTATTTTTCTGTAAATTTAAGTACTTCCATCAACACATTTGTAAACCACAAGTTGAGAGACATTGCATTACCCAAATTAGCTTGGGCATCTGAATGTTAAAATTTCTAGTGTTAAAAACTAATTATATTTGACTTTTCATTAGCTAAAAATAATCAAAAGTTTGATCAAAAACCATTACTATGAATAAACTTTTTGCTTTAATCCTAAGGTTACTATTAAGTAAATTAAAAAATTTACTACTACACAAATAAAATAATTATTTCATGACTAAGTAATGTGGTTATAAAAAAATAATAAATTTTAGAATTAGATAAAACTAATAACTTTTCTTACCTCATGTTCAATGCCACTATATTCTCCTTCAGTATTTTCTCTAATTGTTACCACATCAACATCTTTATATAGTGTTTCTACCCCAGAAACAGATCGACATGGACGAACATTTGCATAAAGATTAAATAACCTACAATATAATAAAATATTTTAAATAAAATAGTATCCTATAAAAACAGCATTAATAAGTAAAAACATAATATAATAAAAATGTTACAGTATAATGATGATACTTAATTTAATATTAACAAGACTAGGAGAAGTCATTAAAGAGTAACAAAAACTATCAGAAAGCAACGAAAAAGTAACTGAAAACACTCTTTACTAATTGTATTTTATAGAAAAAAAATCACAATTTTCTGCTCATTAAGATTACAAAACACACTTTTATATTACATTTATAAGCATAATTATTCTTATAGGTCATCTTTGGTACCCAAGTAAAATGTGTTTGCTGATATGATGTCATATCAAAAGTGATGAATGACCGAGCTGACTCTGAATTAGCTTCACTCTTCTTCCTAAATGAAGTTAACATGGCAGATTGTTGTATGCATGTGTGATAAAAATGCATTATGTTGTTTATGCAACAATGCATTGTAGTATGTTAATACTGCTGGAATGTACTATAGTAATTTTTTTAACAGTCTCAACACAAATTTTGCATCATGGCATTTTTTTAAAACACCAGAACATGTCACAGCACTATATACTTACCAAGACACAATAGTTCTTGTTGTAGCTGTTTCTGTAAAGCCACAATGCATTCTAATCATTTTCTCTATTCAATGTGAATTTTCAATCTTTCACAGTTTCACAAAGTTTTCTGTAGATGAATGTCAAAAAAGCTGAATGTTGAATAAAAAGTAACAAGACTGGAGATCTCTGAAGACAACTGCATCAAATTGAAAGTGATAATTTTAATTAATGCATAAATCATCATAGATGAGATATGGATATATCATTTCATGCTAGTAATGAAAAGATCTTGAAGCAGTGTAAATATGTTGATTCTCCATTTCCTACAAAGTTTGACACCCAGCCTTCAACCAATGTGGTCATGTCATTGGTCTTCTGGGATTACAGTTGTAGAGTTCCCATGGGTATTATAAAGAAGAAAGAAATTGTCAATGCACTCTGTTACTCTGGACTATAATTATCTGGCAAAGTTTGCAGGGCAATACAAAAGAAAAAATCAGGATTATACTTAAGCAGAAAAATTAGTCAGATTTTTCTTCTCAAAATAAATTTTTTAAATTAATTCTTTCTGCCCTGAAGACACTAATAGGGCCTTTTATCATACCTGTCATGGGTTTAGCACAGTCCACAATGGAGATGGCCAGGTGTTAAAAAATAAGAACTACTAAAGAAAAGTTCTGGAGTTTCCTGAGAGCCAATACTGGATTCCCAGAGTGGCCAGCTGATATCTTTACAACTTTGATCATTAGGCTGTCAAAATATCAAAATGGCTTGATCATCTCATTATCTTTGCAATCTGAACTTGTCTCCAAGTGACTTACATTTGTTTGTTATTCTGAAGAAATATTTTGGCAGAAAAAGTTTACAGACAATGAAGAGATAATTAATGCAGTTTATCTATAGTTGATGATATATGCATGGATGAGCATAATTGATTACATTTTATCTATCTTTTAGTCTACCAGCATGACTAAAAAATAGATAAAATTTGTAGAAGTTGCAACAGATTATGTTGAAAAAATAATATTTGTAACTTCTTTTTTTATGTGTATTTGTAAAGTAATAAAATCAGTCAGATATTTACTGGACAACTCTCACAAATATGAAATGACTTCAATCTGAATGTTTCTTTATCAAAGTAAGCTTAAAAAAAGACTTAGACTGAAACTATTAAAAAAGTTATGATGGTTCACACATTGTTATCAGAGAGAACATTGTATCAAAAATGATGAAAAGAAAATAGATAACTCATAGCTGCCATGTAAACACACTGTGGGTTAATTATATATGGCTTTGCCATCCAAGACATATCAAAAGTTGGTGTTGAAGATTTGCAGAAAAGAAAATAGTCATGAAGCCAATATGAATGGGATCAAGGATTCTAACAATGAGGTATAAAATGAAAATATGTATCTAATATAATAAATTAAACAAATAAATAAAGTCTACTAATTTCAGCAAGTCAACTTTTTTTTTTCAGTCAAAATCTGATCATCTTTAGCTTAAATCCTGTGTTCTAGATAAGGATTATATTATTTGGCAATTGACAGACAGATTTAAACATTTACATGAAGAGAAACACAAGAGAAAAGATTTCTTGCAGGCAAAAAACTAAGAAATGGTGTAAAAAAAACACAATGTGGTTTGCTAATGTGCAGATAAAAGTACACTTCCAGTATTTTTGATTAATTCATCTTATAAAAGCAAACTGCATGATTATTTATCACTTACAAGATCACAAATTCTGAATAAATATCCTACTAATTTCATATTTGTCAAGATTATGGATAAAAATTTTCCAATTTCAGATATATTCTGAAAGAGTTGCAAGGCAAGATACCAAGACTTTTCAGAATGGTCAAAACTCAAACTCATTTAACAACACTATTTACCTACAGCAGGAGATTATCCCTAAGGGATTTTACTATTGGCTTTTTTTTTTAGCAGAAATTGTCATGCAGAAGGTCAAAGATTTCATTTTCAGATTGCCTCTTACCATTCATTAACCTTAATTTATCTCTAATATTCAACCATGTCCTTTAAGCTTGGCAGGGCACACACGAGGAATTCCTATGCTTTCTTCATATTCTACACAACATTTTTTCATCTATAAAATTCTCCTTTGAGACAGAGGACCTCAATAATGCCATTGTTTCCTAGATATTTAATACAGAGGACTGATTGAGGCTTATGTTTTAGTGTGTTCCACAGATTTGGATTATCCTATCCCCTCTCATTGTACCATGCTGCTTGTTCCAACTGAGCAAGTACAAAAATGACACCATCAGGGCACACATAGCATAGGACTAATATCTTATCTGATTACTGCAGATACACTCAGTAACAAATTCAACAACATAAAGCATGTCAGCCCACGAAAAATACCCAACAACACATTCAAGTTTGTGCATTGCAGAGACTTTTGTTCACTTTTCTGACACTCCACACTCTGGGTTATTTCTAGAAAAACATTTTTCAAAGCATCCATACCTTTTCTTGGCAACATTTCCATAAAAATCACCTCTCATAATATTTTACTACTTACAATCATGGTATGTATTGAGACAACTACTTTCTAACAACAGAGATCATTATCATACAGTAGAGCGTCGTTTATCTGAATCAATTGGGGACTAGGGTTGTTTGGATAACCAATTATGTACGAAAAAATATATTAATTTATCCCATGTTGAAATTTTTCTCTGTTGCTTGTCGCTTCGCGTTGATTTTTCGTCGATGTTAAGCCTAACGAAGACTATTGTATTGTTAAAAATTATTTTTTTATTTTGTACAAACAAAATAAATATATTGAAAAATATAAAAACAATAAAAAATTATACTTCAGAAGTTAATTTAGTATCAAAAACGTAAAATATTTGAGTAGCCCAAGACATAGCCAAAGATTGCAGCGCCACAGCACTGGCGAAAATTTAAATT